CTCCTATGCAAAATCTGTGATCGAGCTGATCAGAACTTTTTCTCATGATCCTTTGAAAAACTTCCCCTCATCTCCTGAAACTGCTTCATTGACTTACTGTTCAGCTCCTTTGTTCATACTCTCAGACCCCCAGCCCAGCCCTTTGGGGTCAGGCAAATCTTGGGAGTAACACCCAAGAAGACCACGCTGGTGGCATTTCTCCCAGCTGCTGGGTCTCACTTACCACTGCTTGGTCTCAGTATTAACAGCAGAACCCCGCGATGACCGTCCAGTCGGGGGAAGTCCCTCAGCCCCCGTTTTTTCCTGCCCAACTTAAAGCAGGAGCTGTTGGCCTCCAAACAAAGTCAGTTCTAACAAGTCCCATGTGGAACAGACTGTTATATAGATGGCAGTTTACTTAATTACCATTTTCCAATACACTGTATTATTTCCACCTTGGTGAGCAGTGGCTTAATTACAGAACTTTATCTCTCTGCAAGGCAGTGCCTGGGAGAGGTTCCCCAGTACCCTCTGCCGGGGCATCTGTCGTCATGTTTAATATAGGGTGAGAAACGCAGAGCTGGAGTTGGGCCGGATTTGAAGGCAGGCAGTGAATTTTATGTCATATTCAGGGATGTTTGACTAGGTCAGTTACCTACGTTAAATTTATGAAGGCAGCAATAAGGTTCCAAGTCTCTTTCCACAGCTGTCATTACCTGGCAGAACACTGAAACCTTGCGATAATGAGGATATAAACTGATGTAGTTCATGTAAAAAAAAAAAGCCCATTATTGGAATTTGCATAGCATAATAGAATGCAACATTTTGTCTAAAAGATGGATAATTATTCAAATCACTCCTGCCTCTTTCCTTGGGTAGGCTGATTACTCCTGCCTCCTCTTTCCTTGGCCGGAGGAACAGAAGGTACCACCAGCCGTGACTCTGTGTGTGCTAAATCTGTGTGGCCCCAGGTGATACAAGAAAAGGCTTCTGGAGTTTCCAGATGAGGTTCTCTGCACCTCTGCATTTTTTCTCCAGAAAGGATAGGGAGGCATTGGCTTCAGTTCTATTCCTTTTCTAGACCAGTTAAACAATCAGTACAGGGGGCTCGTGATGGCAGCCTCTTCTACCAGGGCTTGTCTTGGTGTTGGAGCTGCAGGGAGGAATGGAACTTAAACAGAACGAGGTCCCACTGGTGTGGGGAGGATGGATTTCTTCACAGCCATTGGGGTTGGGAAGCTCTCCCTGGACAGTTTGCTCATTCGTTGAGTGTCCTGACAGGGGGAGGTTAAAGCCTAATGTATAACCACGATTGGGAGCTGATTCGCACTGCACAGATTTGCAGTCTTTGGAACTGCTTCTTCTGCCCTTAATTTGAGGCAAGGAAACAAAAACATGGGTTTAGGAAACTACGTATTCAAACTCTTGCCTTCAGACATACTGACTCAGAGGTAATTGGCCATCTCCATACCCACTCCCTGGGTTGGTCTTTATTCTAAATGCTTTGATATGGCTCGATCAGCTCCTCACAGTGGTGTTTATTATGCTAGATTGGTGCCTGTGCCCTGCCGCTTTTGCAACCCACTGCCCCTTCCACCTCCTCTCTCTCTCGTACTTCAGTGGCAAAGTCACCCACGCCAGAGACCTGCCTTGCTCACGTTTCTCTTCGGCTGGTTTGTCTTCCCCAGAGCTGTCCTTATGTTTGTTTCCCTGCCATTAGGTAGAGAGGGTTTCTTCCCCTCCCACCCCCACACTGTCATGCCCCCTGCCTCCCTGGGGCCTTCTTGGACAGGAAGTTACCCTTCTTCTCTCTCCAAACCCTGGCAAAACGGAGAGCACCTGCTGAACACCCGCCCTGGCTCAGCACTCAAGTGACTCGTCTCCTCCAACTGCAAGAGTCAACACGGCTGGAGCCAAGGCACTTGCTCCCCACTTCAAAATAGTCCACGCTTCAACTTTATTAGTCTTTCCAATCCCAAAAGGATCTTTAAGGTTCTGAAAGGAAAATAGGGAGGAGGAAAAGGCAAGATGGTGCAACCAACCAACTCCTCCGATGACCCCCAGCACCTCCCATCCATCAGTTTTCCTTCCATGGAAACAAAGGTCTCTGCCAGTGGGGTGCCCGGCTTTGCCAGGCTTCTCCAAGCTTCGCTGACTGCAAAGAGAAGGGACAGCTATCTTATTAAACCCAAAAAGTATCTGAAATTCTCTCTCAACTTCTCCAGCTTCCAGGCTCCCTGGTACCAGTCGTGTGCTCTTCGTACATTTGGAAATGAAAATAGCCTGTAGGCACAAATATTCACCAAAATGGTTGTGGCACTTTGGCTAATGCAGATGAAGGAGTTGATCAGCAGCTTAGTGGGAGCTCATAATAGCCATGAGAAGGCTGGAGATGCAGGCTTGGTGGTGGGCAGGTCAGGGCTTGTCCAGCGACCTGGGACCCAGGATCTAGGAGTTTGGCAGTGGAGCAGAAAGTGTGGTGATGTGCTACAGCTCTAACTATCTCTTTGTTCAGGATACAGATTCAGTCCTTTTGTCCTTGTTTGGGTTGTGGTCCTTTCTCTTTAGCCAGATGAGCAGGTCACCTTAGTGGGAATAGTAATTCCCTGAAAGCAAATAAACCATAGACTTCTTTAGGAAGAGATCATTTATGTTATGAGGCTCCAAGCCATGAACGCACCGTATAAAGTTATAAAATACTATAAAGAAAAGTTTCACATGCAAAAATAAAACAAAACAGACAAATAAAACACATAAAAAGGGACAAAGTGGCACAGAGCTGACTCCACCATGGTGTGAGGTAATTAAGAACTTGAATTGGGTTTGTCATCTATTTTACAGACTTTCAAAGGAGTCAGTGAAAGCCTCGCAGGAATGATCAGGCAGGCAAGTAGAGGTCTGGTATTCTCCAGCTACTTCCCTCAATTTCACCCACGACACTTGCCACCCAGAAGTGTCCCCAATTCAGAGATGGTCTCTCTGCACTGACAAATTAGCTCTGCTTGTGTGGGGCTTCAGATACTGGAATCTTGGCTCTTCCTCTGGGGCTGTGCCGATGATTTCTGATGTCATTTCCACCCATGACACCCAGCCACATCCCATAGTCTCCTCCACCCTCCAAACAGTTGGCTCTCTCTCTCTTTTTTTTTTTTAATTTTTGTCTTTTTTGTGACCGGTAAGGGGATTGCAACCCTTGGCTTGGTGTCGCCCGCACCGCACTCAGCCAGTGAGCGCACTGGCCATCCCTATATAGGATCCGAACCCGCGGCAAGAGCGCCGCTGCGCTCCCAGCGCCGCACTCTCCTGAGTGAGCCATGGGGTCGGCCCAAACAGTTGACTCTCTTATTCTCGGATTTCCTCTGGCCTGGATGAGTTCTTCATTGCCTTATGGATGTTGTCAGTTTTCTCATCTGGGAGAGGTTCTGGGAATGACAGCAGGTGTCCCACCAGAAGCGAAGCTCTGCATGCAGGTTGTGAACTCACAGAGCTGGGGGAGAGCGGTGGGCCTGCTTTCTGCACGCCAGGGGTAGTGGGGTGAGGAGTGAACCACAGAGCATTTTAGTTCCTTGCCTGAGAAGCACTGAGCTGTGCTTCATTGGGGTTCGCCCTGTGGTTGGTGCACTCGTAGCTGGGGGGGCTCATGACACTCATTTGGGGAGGCCGCCTCCTGGGGACACCCCCTCTTACCAGCCCCACAGGAGCTCAAAACAGGTGCTGGAACAGCTCTTTAGATTTGCATGATTCCTTCTTTTTCCTTTTGAAGGCATTTTTCAGGGCTTCCAAATTTCTTGGTGTTTCTAACAAGGTGAACAGCGGACAGGTTCCTCTCTCCAATATCTGACGTCAACGTTAGAACATCCAAGGGGTCATGTCTTGGGCTGAGCTATGACCCGGCGTTGCTCTCAGAGCTTGACGTGAGGTAGGGGCAGGCAGCAGTCATCACCCCGCCTGGCACACTGGCCCCTGTGCTGCCTGCAAATAGAACTGCAGCTTCTAACCTCATCTGGAAGCCAGCACGTCCCCTCTGCTGGGCACCTGGTCTTGTGCCCCACCTCACAGGGGGGAAACCGAGGAAGTAGATGGCATCTTCGAGCTTTCAAACAATTCGACCACCTTGATTTACTCTGACATTGTCAGCCAATCATCAAGTTATTTGAAAGGAATGATATTTGTCCTGTCTTATTTTCTTTCTTGAGCAAGCAAATAAATGAACAAAACAATTTCCTGTGATGCCACCTTCCATGGTGAGACAGTGTCAGGTGTGGAGATGACCTATTTAGGCAGCCTCTGCCCTCATGACCCCAGGAAAGTCAGCTGACCCCAGGGAAGCCCTTCTCCTCACTGTTCCCACCCCATTCCCACCGAGAAACCCACATCCCATCAGCCTTCCAGACAGGGACATGTCCCCCGTCCCTGGCCAATCTGGAGAGATTGTACAGGGAGAACAGGGCTCCCGGGTGGGACAGGGCTTCTCTCATGCTCCACACTTCTGTGCTGCCTCTGGCACTCCTGGGGCTTGTGACTCTGGGGAGGTTATTGAACCTTCCTGAAACGGAGCCTCCTTTTGTGGCAGGCAGGCTGATCATTCCAAGTCTTCTGAACATTGTGAATGGCAAATGTCAAGCACATGGGGCACTTTAGGGGTTTAAGGACCATTCCCCTTATCCCCGTGGGACTCCTTCCTTTCCCTTCTGTCTCTGCCAAATCTTCAAAGTGTCTTGTCCCGAAGGTTGCCTCTGGGTGTGGCAGTGATTCTAGGCTGAGAGCAGGGGCTGGCACGATGCAGCCAAGGCCTACTGGCAGGGTCTTTGCCACCTAGGGATTAGTGTCCTAGCCTGTGGGGTCCCCAGAGAACTGAGGATTGTCCATGCAATGAGGGGAGGTGGGAGCAATGGAAGTGTACTCACCCCCTGTCCATCAGGCTGAACAGGCCTGGTGTTTCCAGACACTCAGAGTTTATAGCAAGCCAGCCTTGGCCCACTGGTAGGGCTTGACCTGACCTTCCCGTGCTTTCCCTCCAGGACAAAGAAGTGAATTTGGAGCAGGTCCACCGGCGCATGAACAGCCTAATGGACGAAGACATTGCTCACAAGCAGATTTCCCCAGCGTCGATTGAGCTCTCAGCCCTGGAGATGGGGGGCCTGGCTCCCACACAGGCGTTGGAGCCAACGCGGGAGTACCAGAACACCCAGCTGTCAGTCAGCACCTTCCTGCCGGAGCAAAGCAGCCACAGCACGAGCCGGACACTCTCTTCAGGGCCTGGTAGCAACCTGCCACTGCCACTGAGCAGCTCAGCCACCATGCCCTCCATGCAGTGCAAACACAGGTCGCCCAACGGGGGGCTGTTCCGACAGAGCCCTGTGAAGACCCCCATCCCCATGTCCTTCCAGCCTGTGCCTGGAGGCGTCCTCCCAGAGGCTCTGGACACCTCCCACGGCACCTCCATCTGACTGCGCCGCCTGCCCGCCCGCCCACCCACCCGACCAGCAGAGCTTTTTAATACAAGAAACAACAACACACACCACACACACGCACACACAGAGACTCTTTCATTTTTCTTGTACATACATGTAAATAACGACAGAATGGAGTGGGGTAAAAGTGTATTTTGAATATTCCCAATTTTCGAAGTCAGTAAAAAAAAAAAAACACAAAAACTGTATGAATGACTTTGTAAATTTTGTTCTATATGAATAAAAAGGCAAATTACTTGTGATCGTTCTGAAGTGCCAAAGGAGCCCCCTGTTCCTGGGCCTTTCTGAGGGCAGGAAGGGGGATCAGATGAGGAGCCCCTCCCTGCCGAGGAGAAGGGGAGACAGGAGCCCCAAGTGCTGCTCATGTGCTGCGGTGTGTCCCATGACTTCCCACCTCGCTGCCAGCTCCTGGCCACCCCCTTCCTCTCTTAGTCCCCTTCTGCAGGTAAAGAGTGAGCCTGGCCCATTGGGCCACAGCACTGTAGGGCGATCAACTGTTCCTGGTGGCCTGGGGCTGAGGAGATGACACGGGGCAGTCCTGGGCCACCAAGGAGAGGTGGTCACCCACTGTGGGTGGCTGCAGTGTGTGTCTTCCCGTGGCCCGAGAGCAGCCACCAGTGCTGAGCCAACAGCTTCTGAGGGCTTTGTGCTGATGTGCTCTGGAATCATCCCACTGGCCTGGCTTTTCATTTTCTTTTCCTAATTAGAAGAACCAGAGAGGGACAAAAGGTGAGGGCATGTGGATGGGCCCCACCATTGCCTCAGGGAGGCTGGGTGGAGGTGGGCTTGGCCGGGTGGAGGCCCATGGGGATGGGGAGATGCGAGTTATGGCCGGCCGTGTGCACCGGGTGCAGTGGTGGGAGGAGAAGCCAGGTAGAAGACTGTTCCCTTGGGTTTGGGTCCACGGTTCCATGTGAGAGAGGAAAGTATGGCCGCAGGTGCAGGGAGCGGGAGTAATGTGGTTTCAGGTTAAAGGATCCTGTTGGAGGAAGTTGGGGGAGGTGGCCTTGGTGAGTGAGCTAGTACTCCAGGTGATGGGGAGGCCAGGGACTAGAGAAGGTAGACCAGGTAGGGAAGAGCCTAGACCCTTAGTAGAAAAGCATCACTTTGTGTGATGTAAAAACAAGTAACTCCAATCCCCCAGGGCAGTTGCTCACAGCCTGCAAAGTAAAGGTATGTCTCCTGAGTCTGAAGCCCTGCAGGCAGTCTGCGAAACAGGGTCAGACCCCAGCTTCACCACCTTCTTCAGCTCGGGAGTCCTCCAGCAGCGGTCCAGCCCACAGCCACTGCGAACATCATGCATCCTCTGAGATTATGATGAACTTGCTGGGAAACCCTGTTTCACGAGGCCAGGATGACCTAACAGCCTCCCGCCCTCCAGCGCCCTTCCTGGGGCAACTAAACTAGAGAACCAGAGAAAGAACCATGAGGAGTGGAGGAATCGCAGGAATCTGAGCTGTGTCTCTTCAATTCCTCTTTTTCTGAAGACAAAGGAGATTCTAATCTCCTAACCTGTCAGGATGGAGAACACAGCCCTCGTGCCTCAAGGGGGGCAGGCTCCTGCCCCCAGCAGCAATCAGGGGGCTGAGAGCCTGGGTCTGTGGTCACGGAAAAATACTAAGTCCTGTTGATTGCCCCTTCTACAGCCTCGTACAGTCACTCAAGAGATGTATTTATGAGGGTAATAACCAGCCCAGGATTGATTTCTTTCCTGAAGTCCCTAGTGACATGATTGAGCAGTAAGAAACGCCGCATCACACACTCAGCTAGAAGCACCCTGCAGAAGAGAGTATTCATAGTTCATTATGTTATTTATCTCTGGGTGCTGAGGGTGGCCTGATATTTGTGCTACCAAGGTGATCCATTGACATTTGTCCAGAGTGTGTGGAGGCTGAGCTGGAAGTGCCTGCTGAAGCCTAGGTGGGGTGTCTTTGCCCCGAGGAAGAGCAGACTTCATCTTCTTTCCATGTGCATGTTGAGGGACCTGCCCTGGCTGGTCAATTTTTCATATATATATATATATTTTTTTTTTTTTCAGTCAAACTCTCATCTCACTGCCTTATCTCATAACCAAGTCTGTCTTTTCCTTTTTTTTCCCTCTAAGATGACCTATCTTCTGGGACATACCATCGATATGGATGTCTTCTTAGATGGCTTTGCTTAGAATGAGTGTCAGGGAGAAGAGAGAAATGGAGGGTGTGTGTGTGTGTGTG